AATCTGCGTCAGAACAAAATGAAGATGTGCTGTAAATTTAAAATAAACTCACATGTGAAAACTTCCGCAAATGTCAGAAAAGTTTCAGTAAGTAAACATTGTTTTAGTTATTAGCAGATTATTTTATTTGAATTTTTTCTACATTTAAACTTATAACATGTAATCCAAAGTATATTTAACAATAAAGAAATTAAATTTAAAAAGGAAGTCTGAAAGTATTATTTTTTATTGAATATTATTTCGCATTACCAAGTAAAAACTAGTTTTTCATATTTTTGAAAGCAAAATTTTCAGCAAAATAACAAAATATTTTAAGCGAAAATTTAATTAAAAAAAAACATGGTATTAAAATTAAATTTCTGAGTTTCTTTCAGTTTTTGCAGCTTCTCGTGACTTGAAATCTTTCTTACTTTAGACTATTTCTTATTTAATTTAACTTGATAACCACAAAAGAAATCTAACTTAATAAGACAAGTATGACAACAATACAATTATTATATTATAATCGAATTTTTAAGACATGAAAATTATAAGACATGGAAAATGTTTTGTACCACATAGCGAAAGCTCAGATGTTTATTATGAAAACTGCAGAAATAAATAATGTGATTTATAAACAATTTTTGAGAAAAATAACTTTAACACGTAACTTTAAAACCTTATTTGTTCATCAACTATAATGGTATAAATCATCAAATATAATGATGCTATCATCACACCTTCTCATGCACGATATAGTCATCAATATTTTTTAAAAATGTGGAAAACTCAAAAAAAAACTCCAAAAAAAATAGTATTTAAATTTATAAATAGATATGTACAGTAAAAATGTTTGTAAATATTATCTATGACTAAGTCAATGAAACAAATTCCAAGGATGATAAGTATTCATATTTAATTTTTTCTTTGAAGCATATTTAAAATAATAAATTAAAATTAGATAAGGCATAAATAATACTTAAACACAGTTACATGACGTTTTACATCGAAGAAGAAAAAAATTTTAATTGATTTGCTAGACAATAAATTAATTCCTTTAAGTTATAAAAGTAGCAAAATATACTTCGAAATAATTTATTTCCAGAAAGTTCCTGAAAAAGATATGTGTTTTTCAAAAATGTGTTCTTTTATTTTGTACAATATTCAGTAAAAATGAAATAGTACGTAGTAACAAACAAATAAAAGAAAATCTACTAAAAATAACAATAAACCTCGAAATGAGATATATTGTCAAAACTTCAGTAAGAGCGTTCATTATTGCGATAGTTTTATTTTTTCGTATTGAGTCTGAGGAAAAAAACATAGACAACTGCCTACTTGTCTTTAAAAATTTTGACAAGAGCTTCAACAAACGTTGCAATTTTTCTAAACAATTTTCCAAAAAAATCTATTTATCGGAAACAGACTTATAGTTGCTTATTTTTCCCACAAAAATATATTATCATTTCATATTTCTTTTGACGTTAAAATTTTATTATTTCAGTTTTAAGCATAAACTCTTAGATGTCACTTATGAGTAAAATGTTATTTAGAAATACTTTTTAGTTGGAATTTACTTTACATTTTTATTTAAATTCTTAAGAATGTTAAATGGAAAACCTATTAAGAATCATTTTATAATTTTTACGCACTTATGAAGTATCATTGATTTAATAACTAAGACAAAATAAGAATTGCTTTAAAATTTAGATTGATGAAGAAAGCTTTTTAAAGAAGTTTTAAGGTATTTATTTTACTACGATTAAACAATTTGTGATCCTAATTACTTTTTAAATTTTAAAGTGACTGAATTGTTAATCATTTTTTTATCATTATTTGAATTTAAATTTGTGAACTTATGTTTTCAGACATAGAGGTGTAAAATACTTTAAACCCCACAGAGCAAAAATTGTAATATACTCACTTATTTCTTTTTCTCTTAATTCAAATGAAAATAAACATTTACACTTTAAGTAAATAAGGAAATATTAACTTTTTTGATGAAAAAATCTTGATAACCTAACAGTTTGAAGAGCCTTATTCGAATATTCAAAAACAAACATAAAATTAATTCATGAGGTAAAAAAAGTATACATTATTGTTGGCATTGTATTTCAGTGTTCAATATAAAAAAAACTCTATCTTTTTATTGAAAGCTTTAATGATGTATTTGATTTATGGATATGAGATAAATTTATATTTGTGAATAAATGAAATAAACTGTATAATTTATGACATCAGCTTATGTTACTGCTTTCAAAACATAATTTTCACTGATAATTTAATAAGGAAATGATAAACATTTCTTTTTAAAAAACTATCTATAAATTAAAAATTTTAATATGTAATTGATTTTTACACTAAAAGCTTATATTTTAGATATACTTTAACAATGAGCCATTTCTGAACACAACAGAACGTCTTTAGCATAACATTAATATATTTATTCAAGATAATCAGTGTTATAAATTATTCCAGCAACTTTTAAAAGTCTTCGTCAAATTGAACTTAAATAGATGAATCATAAAATTAAATCACTGATATGAAAGTTTCATTTATTCACTCAATGATTCGTTGAAATTAGGCGACATCAGATGATCCTATTCATTAGAAATTTCTATCGTACTTAATCATTTATTACTGAGAAACTTTATACAAAGGCCTGCCATCTGAATTGGATTTTAACGATCACGCACTTATCATACGTAATCCTTTTGGTCTTTTATTGCGAACTAGATTAAGGAACCATTATTGTCCACGCAATTGACCATTGCATTGCAGAGTTTTCCTGATAATAATCTTGATCGTTAAGAAATTAGTAATTAAAGACAAGATGAAATATATAAACAATATAAACAATAAACGGATGTCTCACTCAAAAATAGCCAACTAAAAACCAATTAACGAAAAACGCAACGAGATAGAAATGAACTTTTACAGATCTAATTTTAAGAAATTTAATTAAACAGATTTTCAAATTAGTTTTGGATTTCACCAATTGATGACTGCTATTTGAGAAAAGTAAAAAGCAATGTCTTTAATATAGCTATTTTTAGCAATAGCTATGCGTAGTCTGAAACAAAACTAACAGATGCTCATTTTTTTCCTTCTATAAAGCGCAATTTGATGCGCTAAAAAATAAGCTTTCTGATTTCTTAAGCAGAATACAGTGAATCATACTTGTTTTTTTTCTTTATTCGTATCTTTTAAGACTCTTGATTTTTTACGTTCTTCACGAATTCTTAATTTAAGGATATCTGTGAACAGAAAATTCTTACACTAGATGATTTGTAAAAAGCAGTTTTACGTCTAAGCATGTTTATACGCATATATAATTGCAATTTCAAGCCCGACACTGAAGACAAAAGAAGTTCTAGATTAAGAAATAGAACATTCTAGCTCTAGGTAATAGTTTTAGGGAATTGAAACTTCATTCGAGTTGCTTAAAAAAATTTATGAAATCACCCTGCAGTATAATGATACCCTAGCACATGATACGTGATTATTGCTACTGAAAGTTCTTTTGCTGTCAGCAAAAAAAACTAGAATATTGTGTAAAACTGTGAAACTTGATATAATTTATTGTTCCGGAACTAGCTGTTTTTATACTTGAATTTATAATGTTGAAAAAACATCCATCAAACTTGATTCAGCTTATTGCTCTAGAAAAAAGTATATACCTTAAAATTTATAATAGTGGAACAAAAACTATCAATCTTGATCTAATTTAACGCAATGGGAACAAAATATACTATATAATCAATAATACTGAAACAAACCAATTAAACCTGATTCAAAATTACCACTTTAAAGAGTATACAGCAAAAATACAAAAAAATTTAATTTATGATACTAAAATTAATTTATTTTAGGCATTTTTTTATGATTTTTATAAACCTACAATCTTCTTATAATTCAGAAAGTTATTAAAAATCATATAGAAGCACTCGAAAAGCTCTTAAAAATAATTTTTTTTAATATAAAATGAGATTTTAATTTATATTTAGTGTGAAAAAAATGTGTAAGTTCTGTGGGCAAATATGACACATTAATATACCGGACTTCAACATCTTTGGGGTTAGCGTGAGTAGTTTACTTTTCAGACAGAAGAATAATTATTTTCTGCTTTCACGCTATCGTCCAAAGTCAATTAACTAAGAACAATACTTGTAACTCCTTAGAGTAATACAAAGAAAACGTTAAAAAGTGCTTCCAGTAAATTGTTTGCTTTTCTACCTTCTGGTTAATTTCAAGTTGTGTATATACGTAGCACATTTTCTGCAACGCATACTAAATTAATAAGACCTGCTCACGCTTTGAGACTTTTTTTTAATGTTATTTTTGAAGGATAATTTTTTCGCATGAAATATAAGCTTGCACAATTGAAAATATAAATATTTTTTGTTGTTGATTTGCTTAAAAGGAATAAATAAAAAATGAAAAAAATAATTATTATGTTTTTATACCACCCGCATAATATTTACGCGAATCCAAAAGTTTAAACCCTATGTTTTTTGCTTCATAGTAACTTTAAACAAGAGTAATTTATAAATTTCAATGTCACATTAGAATCGTAGTAATTATAAAACAATTAGTCAAAAAGAGTTTGAAGAAACTTTACTATACAATAGTAAAAAGGAACTATACTTTAAAATATAGCCTATACTTGCATACATAATGCTTCGCTACCCTAGATTTATTCGCATTAATATTGTATTTAAACTTTTTTGAAAAAGGGGAGAAGAAAAATATCAATTTTATTTATAAGAAACGAAGTAATTACGAAGAATTAATTTTGAAAGAATCCGAAATAAAGTTCTTTAAACTATGAAAATCTTGGGGAAAAAGAAAAGAAAAACCAACTTGGCTCATTTATTGGCATGTATTGTTTCCTTAATTTTCATTGCAACCCTTGTACATCATTACTCATTCCTTTATTTGTACAGGCAGCATTTCTATCTTCTTATCCATTAAGAGGCATTAAAAATATTGATATATTTATAACTAATGAATTCCTTTCCATATTAATATTTCGTTTATAAATGTTTGTAAATTATTTTACTAATTCAAATATTTTAAACTCGGTTTTTCTTTTCCTATCTGTCAATAAAAGCTGACGATAAAAGAATAGTGATTTTAATAATTATTGGCTTAAGCACTTTATATATTACGTAGTATTTAAACAGTGTATACGATCTTGAGAGAAACGTATTATCCTTGTAATCTTATGGTCACAAACAGTATTGTGCCCATTTCAGACTCAGTGCTCTTAAGAATTAAGATATTGGATCATATTATTACATTTTTGTTTCCATTGCATTGTGTGGTTATGGTATGGATAGTAGTAGTAAAAATGCAGCTTTTATTGAAAAAAGTAATGTATAAATGTAAGTAATAAACATTGATTCATATTTTACTGTTATAAAGTAAGAATTCTATATTCTAATAATTCGAGATCCGTTGATTTAAATCAGCATGATTAAAATAATCGCGGTTTAAATCTAGTGATCTCTAGAAAAATCATTGATTTGAATCCTATTGTTGTTTAAAGAAATCTCAGTAATTCATATTTAAAAATGCAAAGCATTTCACTATAAGATTGTTTAAATTTTTTTTAATAATTTTCAAAATTTAAAATTTTTGAAATTTTTTTGTAAATGGATGAAGAAGTTTTGCAAATGATTAAGAGTAAAAGAGAAGCAAATTGTTTAAGAAGTTTTAATTACAAAAATTACATTATTATTTAAATGTAATAGATTATTAAACTACGGCACTTATGAAGTGACCACCAATTAATTTTGCTATTAAAATATAGTTATTAAGAAATTAAGAACAAGACAATAAAAACTAAATAATTGATTTAATTTAATTAAAACTCTATTAATGATGATGAAAAAAAATAAATTTCATAAATTATAGACATTTTAAATTATTATATTTTAAAAAAAGCGAATAAAAACATTTTATACTTTTCTAAACAATCAATGTAACGGCTAATTTTTTTATTTCAATACTAAAGTAACACTCACTAATTCCCTGTCGCGACTACATCGAAAACAAAAATCTATTTATAATTCTTTATTCTTTATTTATTACCACAAAAATTTTTCAGTTTTATAGTTATTTTAATTCTCACAGTCTTTTTGGCCATTTGCTTTCGCCAAATTTAATATTGATTATGGGAGGGTGGCTTTATTTTTAGCTGTGTTATCTTTCGATATATAGCTAACCATGGATCGCTTCCCATGCTCCTAACTGTTCGCTGGGAACAATTCATTTACTCTAAATTTGGAATTATTGGCGATTGGCGGAAATTATTTTTAATTCAAAAAAGTTGCAAAATTTATCTGAAAAAGGCTTATTTAGTAGAGCCATTATAAAATCACATCTTTGCCTTGATATATTTTAAAATTTAGCTTTATTTTCTCTGCGAGTGTAGTTTGACAATATGGTCCTCAAAGTAATTTACAATTTAGTGTATTCATATTAATATATATTGAGGTAGAAAGTCATCGATAAAAAAAGTCATATAAATCGTATTAATACATGTTGTGTTAAGAAAGTCATTTCTAGTCTGCAAATGGTTCACTCACGAAAGCATTTCGTGGTTTTGCTCTCTATGTAATACAATTGCTATTAAATTAGCTCCAAAAAGTTCTCTCTTAAAAATAATATCTTGAAAAGAGAACCCAAGAGTTCGTTTTTTACAGAGTTGAAATTAAAATTGCATGTCTGCTATGTCAAAAACAAGAAAGCCGTTCGAACTAGTTGCTCAAAATACACTATAAGAAATTTCTCGGAAAAAATAGGTTAAATTACAATTTATTTAATTATTATTTTACCATATTCAAACAAAACAGTCAAATAACTAAGAGGCTAATCAATATAAATAAGAAGATAATCAAACTGTGTTAACTGTGAATAAAACCGTTTACTAACTGATTTCACCTAATACGGTTAAACAAACAAATTTGTATCGCTTTAACTGGGTTCTCCAAATCAAGCTACTTTATTCCTTGTAGCTGGATGAGTATTATAGCCAAGAGGACTAATGTGGCAATTTCATGACCGAAAGAACGGGGGTTCGTGTCCCAGCACTGACGTCACACTATTTCTTCCATTCTTTTCAACACATAAAGAGTTTCCAGAGTCCTCCACTTTCCAATATTTAATCATGGACTGTCAGAATACGATATTCTCAATCACACATGAAAGGTAGCACCAGAAAACTGATAAACTATCTCTAATGTCCAACAAAATTTCTTTTTCAAGGTTTTGAAATCATGCTAGTTATAAATGGCTAAAAAACCGTACAGTTTCGTATTCATGGTTTTTCAATCATACTAGTGGTGAATGGCTTCAAAACCGTAAAGGTAAAAATTGTTCTTCACCTTAAACTTTACAGTTAATTGGATAACCAGACTGATGCCGATTATTTTGCAGTAATTTTAGAATAAAAATTCTGACATTGCAGGGAATAAAATGCAGTCTAACAGAACTCTAAAGCTGTTGATTTTCTGGCTTGATCACTTTTCATTTGGAATTGAAGCACCAATTTTTAAGCAATGTATAGAAGACTATTAGTATCATTAGTGATGTGTATTCATCAGTTTAATAAAAGTACTTAAATATTTGCATTTATATTAAAGCTGTGAATTTGATACAAGTTTTTCATTTATATTTCTATAAAAGCTGTTTACAAGATATAAGTCTTTATAATTTATTTTTATGGCTAATTATCATCAGTTACACAATGATTGAAAATGAATTTTCTTGTTAATTTACTTTTGAGTTTCATTGTATAGAGAATAATAATGATAAATATTTATGCCGGAAATGGTTACTTAATTATCTTAAACTATATTTAAATTATTATTATTATGTGAAGTGAATAAATCCGTTCATAGTATATGTTTACAAGATGATTACTTCTTTTTACACAAGGAAATATGAAATTTTTTATAGAATTGGAAAAACAAACTGCAATTTTTGTGCATAGTATATTTCTATGTTCAGTTTAATGAAGAAAGTAGGTACAGGTCTTTAAATATTCTTTTGCCTTAATAAACGCATATTAATAAAAACTAACTTAAGTAAATTCAAATTAATAAAAATTTATATTATACTTATAAAAAAAATTTTTTAATTTTTAGATAGATTATTGAAGATGAGCAAAGCCAATATTTTATTGTTTAGCATTTTAGAAAGAAAATGTTTACATTTAACATTATTTTTTGCCGAAGTTTTCCTTTCTAATTTTTAAATTTTATATACATTGCTGAATACTAAGCGATATTTCATAATTTTTCTCCAAGCATATTAAAAAGAAAAGAAATAAGGTGTTTATTCTATCACAAAACTAGCTTGTTTTCTTGAAAAATCTCACACATTTTTCTACATCCACTTAATAAACTGCAGGCGTTTTCCTGCCCGGGTATTATTATGCAATATTTCCTAGTTTAGATGTAAAAGTATGCGCCAAGAAAACTGAAATAAATTGAAACATTCCGTCTTCGTCAAGTCTTTCAGGGAAAGAAATTGCTACCTGATTCTGAAACACAAGCCTGCAGGAAGAAGCTGGAGTTTTAGTTCTCGTAATTTAAGATACAATCCATCATCTTTCAAGTTTCTGTTTAAAAAACGCTAAGTCAGCTCCACAAATGAGCCTTTCACAGTTTCTTCAGTAAAGTGTTTGTTTTTAAGGATTCTTTTTTGTACAAAGCCTCTTTCTTTCTGACAGTTTAAGATAAATATCGGTGTTTTAGGGTTGGATGGTTCTTCTCAAAAACTGTGTATTGAAATTGAAATAGCTTTTCTCTTTCTATCTATGTAGTCCAAGAAAAGAAACTACTGCTAAATAATCGATATCTTTCCATAGTAAATACTAATTAATTAAAATGTGATAGTATACTTGGTAGTTTTAATTTAAGTGAAGAATACGAGGTTAATACGGTTGTAATATAAATTGTTCAAAAACTATTGAATTTTAATGTAATACGCGTGTAATAATTTAAAAACGAGGCATTATTAATCAAATGAATATTGTTATATTATTTTATAAGTGTTTATCCACATTTTATGCAACTATGAATTCGTAGTTATGGAAGAATTTACCCCGACCCGCCCTTATTTAGGGCATACGGGTAAATGTTTATTAAATGAATGAATGAATTCGTAGTTATATGAAGTAGCTGAAAATTTGCACTCAAACATACAGCAGAAAATTTATAAAATAATTAAAAAAACAAGGTGTATCTTAAACTGAAAACAGAACTGACAGAAAAGAAAATTACCAGAAAATTAATTAGTATTTTAAAGATTTAAAAGTAAAAATATTATAGTAACATTTAACATTAAAAAAAATATTCTTTTTAAACAAGATA